TACAGAGCACATGTGAACACTGGTCTACGACTTTTCTTTCCAGCAGTTTACCACTTTGAAAAGACAGTTCACGAAAATTTTGGGGTACCCTTTTTAGGTTGAAAAGCGGAAGTGTTGATGTAGAGGTGTACATCGGTGGCGAAGGGAGCGAAAAATCCGCCTAATACAAAATTTTTCAAAAGTAGTAGAAGTGGAGGTTGTACGAGATCACCTTGACGGAAATGGCATGTAAGGGGTATTTGGACGAGATTTAACTTGCTCCCGTTGTGCAAAGAGATGACTACATCGAGCCAAAATTGTCTGCTATTCACTGTCGCCATGGGTTATGACGAGTTGTTTTAACTTCCTACATGGGAGTCTCTCGAGATAGTGCAGCCTCTACAAAGCCGTTGGAACTCGTCCATTGTGGGTGTGGCATTCACACGATACAATCTCTGGCCCCTTAATGTGCCCTATTTAGGACTTTTTTCAACCTTGTAGTGGCACGTATGGTATAAGTGGGAGCCTCGAATTCATACTATTGGGGAGTCTGAGAAACCATTTTTATCGTAAACTGTGCCTTTAAAGTGGACTGACCAGTGGGCATGGATGACGTCTTCTGATGGCATTGTACTAAACCAACCTTCATTGAACCCAAGTAGGAGCTCCTGTTATGTAGGAACTGTAGGAATCATGAGAAGGCCAATGTATCTATCAGAATGATTGATAAGAACATCAAAAAAATCTGGACTAGTAAAAAAAGCCAGGTGCTTAGGTGTCATACGAGTTGAGGGAGACACACTTGACGTAGCATGATAGTGTCTGTGACGACTTGAGCTTCAAACGCATTGAAGACCACTCATTTATGAAGCGGATAGAGGCTGTAGATAAAGGTTGGAATGATGTTACCTACAAAGATTATGGTAATTACAGCATGAACCTGCTCAAACGAGGTCCGGAGATGATCTTCATCAAAAGACCATCACGACACCGATTTGTTGGGATTACAAAGGTGAGAATTGCATAGTCTGAAATGCTTTCAAGGAGCCAGAATGTTAATTTGGACCTCTACTTGATAGAGCTCGATCGGAACAACTGAAAAATCTCCAAAATTAGCGAGTCGCAACGGAGTAATGTTATGCTGTGACCAGTCTAGACCGCACACATTTTTGGTGGTTCAGCAAAAATTATCAAAGCCTGCCTGAAAGCCTGCCTGAAACTAACCAACAAAGCTTCATCCACCAAATAGCCCCGATCTCGCGCAATGAACACCATTCACCTCTGTCTTGCAGTCTCCTTCACTGGAAAACTCCTTACCGAAGATGAAGAAATCAAATCTAGTGTAGTTCACTTTTTTGCCGAAAAAAAATTAGAAGTTCCACTGGAGAGGAACTGCGAAATTACCAGAAAAATGGCAAAAGTTAGCCGAGTAAAGCAGGCTATTGAAGCTATTTAAAGTCTGTTAATTACAAGAAAAAAATTTTTCCTGAAAGTGGCCCAAAAGTCGCAATTACTTTACGTACTACCCCGGTGTGACCTATCAAACGCTTGAATGCCGCGTTACTTACTGGGCAATCCACTTTTGCGAATTGGAACTTTTCGTTTATCACAATCTAGCAAGAATGAAAGTTGTTTACCAGAATTGTCCAATTCAAATATTGGGCTTGATCTTGGTCGGATAATGATATCGATCGATTGGAATTAGTAATTGCAATCAGTTCTGATCGAATTTTGTCCATAACCTGAAATTCCTCTGTATATAGGTGGCTATGGTATTTGTTTTTGTATTTTTATGGTAACCTGTGTTTACCAGACTAGTGGTGTCGCAAAAACTTTTCAGAAGGTCTGGCTCATTCGTATGGTGGTAGGGTCGAGCTGTGAAATGAGCAATAATTTTGTCCGTAGAGCCTATTCACTCCTGACCCCTTGTCCTGCCCCGAATAAACAGCAGCGGGAAGAGTTTGCACTTTTTTGTTTCAAATGTTTTTTTCAGTTGTGAGCATCTCAGTACCTACAGCCCATCTCGCGCCATCCCACCTCCCCCAACCCCCTACCTCCTCTCACCATCTCTACACCTTCCCATGCCGGCCCTCCTCATCTGTCTTGACGGGGCTTAGAAGGCAATGAGATTCCATTTCGTTTGGTAATGTTCTATATCTATGTATGAAACGTTACTGGAGTTGGTTGGCTGGTAAAAAAAAAGTAACAAAAACGAAAATCTTCTTAGCAAATCTTTTAGTTCAAGTCCATGGAATACTCACGTCAGGATTCTTGATGAGATGCATTATTCCCCACATCAAGGTGATTGTTGTCGTCTCCTGACCAGCAATCCATAAATCGAAAATATCGTAAAGTAGTTCATCTTCTCTAAACAATTTTTTCCTGTGTTAAGCATTTGGATTAGTGAATGAAACAATGATCAAAAGTTTTGGAAGTTTTGGACCTTACGCACCACGTGTTCAAGTTCTACCCAAGTCATGACAGAAGGACTGTGAGTTTAGTTGGCATAGTGAAGAGTTGTGAGGGGCAGTCGCCAATAAAACCTTTTTATCCTTCAAAATATCCTTCAAAATGATTCTGGTGCCGTTAGAACAAGGAAATCATGGAGGGCTT